GTCCCTCCCCAATACTCTGTGAAGCCTCTACTAAGCTGCTGACAACTGACTGCGTGAACCGAATGGTGTGCCTCGAAAATCAAAATGTACCATGCGATAAACATCTACTACAGCAACTACGTCACATATCCCGATGTACGCCGCAAGAACGCACGGTAGAGCGACCACAGCCTGCATTGATACCACCACCATCCTGTCGGAACCCTGGTCGACGGGAGCGGAGATGTTGTCCTTTCTGTCTGGAGACTCTATGCCTCTACTCCCATGCACAGCTTGCGCAAGAATCTTTTGCGTCTGGGCCCCGCACTTCCCAGGTTACTGCATTGTCCTATGCACACGTCCCCTCACTTGCGGACGAAAGGCAGACATCAACGCATCAGCATTCAAAGGGATATTAAATCGAAGCGAGATGATTGGGCAAGTGCGGCCCGCTCAGTGGCATAGGTAGAAGTTTATATCAGAGGAGGCAACATTTGCCACAATATATCCTTTCGCTTTCCGTTAGACATTCGCCTCGGTCGGCTGGAGACAGCAATCAGATGCCCCTAAATACAAGACTTAAGGAGTCCCGAAATTGCGAATTTATTCCGTATAGATAACGTTTTCTGATTCTATGACCTGCGGATTTGAAAGGGAAGTAGACAAAATTCTATGAGGTGCAAAGTGTGCACATGACACTATATCGAATATTGGCTGATGCAGATTTACAAAAGATCACGAAAGGAGTGCTCAGCAAGTTTGATTACACCGGAAATCCCAAGACTGCTCACATTATGAACTCCGTTCCTGCACCCGCTAATTTGGGAGCCATACAAGGCACCAGCGTCCCAGCTGTGATCGTAGCTGTTACATTGCTGTTGCAGATAACCGATCCGTCAAAGATGTCATTTTGGCCGATTGTGAGGATGGTATTCTCTTGGAGGAGCGCAAATAGAGTGTTCAATTCTTGGATGTAAGCCTCTGGCTTCTTTGCAGCGTACTTCTGGAAGTCACCCAGATCCTTGGCAGTCTTGGCATGTTTGTGAAGAGTCACGTTAAGCTCGTTCCAGGTGGCAATCGGTAGTCGGTCCAGAACGCCGTCTTCGCTGGCCTGTCTGTAACTCTAAAGAGTGGTGTTGAACTCCTTGTACCATTAAATGTTGATTGTACTGAGTTCGCTCTTGTACTCGTTGATGGCCTTGGAATCAATCGCGGAAGGTGCGTACAAGCCTTGTGCAAACAATCACGACGTCCCTGCCCACTGTACAAATGTTTGATGCAGATAGCATAAAGCCACCTCCACTGCTAGTATCAAATCAGGACTCCACCCTTAGCACGGCATTCTACTCGCACATGTTGATTCAACCCCGAACTGTTCACGGGTAGCTCCTTCGCCTCTGTCGTGAAAACAGCCCTTATCGGAAGACGTTGACCTCTTCACTTTGCTTACGCCGACGCTGCACACTTTAACGCTCTGGAACCCACCGAACTTCTTGCATCGAGGATCGCCAAGCAGGAGAGCTGGTCGGACTTCACTTCGAAACTAGAGCCACGGAACTGCTTCGGAAATGCGAGTTGACTGCTGATACTAGCAGACTCTGCTTTTCGTACTATGGGATCCAATGCCGAAACTGCTGGTGCTTGTTGAGAACAAACACGCAGAATTCCATGAAATCAAGGAAACAAAGAGTAGGAATTTGACCCCTGGCTGAACGCCTACATCGACGGCCTACGGGTGGACAGAATTTGCATGAGCTTCTTCACATTGCAGTGGGAGTCACGTAAGCAGACAACAATTTGCTCTAAGCTATTCTCAAGGCCGAATCCTTCTACCTTTTCTCAACACCGAATTCGCCATGTACACACAACGTCGACGCTCTGCGATCGATCCCACCGACCGACTCCCTTCCTCCCTCGCCTCACGAATCACTCCATCAATCCGGCAGTTCTACCACGGCACTCGATCATTTCCTTCTGCGGCCGGCAACTCAAGCCTATTACCGACTCTCCTGTGCACGCATGGACTCGCGATGCTCGTCGAGCATGGATGGTGATGACAAGTTGCAACAGCGCCCACATTCACATTTCTCCAATCGACCGACCATTCCAAGACGCCCTTCCGACAACCAAAGCTCTCAAGAAAGAAGTTCTGACCGCAAATTCACCTCACCGATAGATTACACGCAGTTCTTCAAGTAAAAGGAATGTCGAAACACATACACAAAGAGTCGAGCCAAACTCACTACTCGTAGGTAGACTAAAAGTCGAAGCTAAGGGGAAAAACCCCGACGCGTAAGGCTCAACTCGAAGAACTGACAGTTCTTCGAGCTAGCCTTGAATATAACCCACGGTCGACGACCTCAACGTGCATGGCGTTCCAACGTGCAGGGCGTCCCAACGTGTACCGCGTCCTAACGTGTCTACACTCAAATCCACACTAACGTCTCGAGCCATGACAGCATAATCAGAAATTTATCAATTTTATGGTAATTTTATTTATATTTTACATGTCTAAAATTGTAATAACGACCTTCTATTATAATAATTAATTGTTATCTAGATTATTATTAAGTACAATTTCTTGGATAAATTTTAATCTTGAAATTACATCAAGATTATTTTTTCCTCATTGTAGAGTTTGACTGATGTTTTGGCAAGAGTTTGCACTGTCTAATTTTGATATCCAGCCATCTACAAAACTAGTAATCATTTTTTTCTAAATTTTAAATGATGTGAGCACTTCAAATCTTAAGAGTTTCAAATTTTTCATGATAAAATTTCAATATCTTGAAACAACAGAAATAAATTATATAAATTGTAAAATTTGATATTAGAAATTCACTTCAAATTTTCAAGATTTGTTAACAAGACTTTCAAATATTCCAAGAGTGAAGTAATGAGAATATGGACACATAAATAAAAATGTCAAATATTATTATTACAATGAATTGCAATGCAATATATTATGTATATCATATCAATGAAAGTTGTAAATATGGAACTAATCATCTCATGTGAATTAATCACATCACAACGTGAGATTTAACTTCAATGATCATTTAATCATTAAATGTGTGATTGTGATTAGAATTATAACCTGATGAATTCAAATCCATATATACATCAAAAAACATAGACTGAAAAATTTCGGATTTTATTATTTTTTAGAAAAATTATAACCATCTATATATTGTAAAAACGATATGATCATTTACAACTCATGATTATATTAGATGTGAAAAAGTCACGTAATAAAAAATTCACTGCAATAAATTTTTAATTTAGAATAAATATTGTGAATTTTTGCAGAGGATTAGCTAGCAAATCAATTTTTTAATCTTTTTAGGAATGTTTGTTAACATAATCATTAAAAATTTGAAAATTATAGATAATAAAAATATTGGATTAAAATTTTTAAATATTAATAAAATTTTAATAAATACAAAAATAAAATCTAATTATAAATGTATATTATATCATCACTATTCATACAATAAATTCAAGGACATGATTAATTGTAAGGTATTATACAATGCATTTCTAAATAGTTGGATCATTTAAAATTCCAGAATATGTTTATATGATCAAGATGAATATTGACTTATTCTTGAATAGACTATAGAAATATTTTATGGTCTTTATTTTGCATCATTTTGATAACTTTGAATTTAAATATGATTATAGTTTAACAAATATTCAAATTTAAAAATATTAAAGTGAAATTGGAAAAAAATTGAGAAGGGCAAGAAAATTAAAAGTTAATTCAATGAAATGACATCATTTGATTTAATCTAAAATATCAATATGAAATAAAATTCAAATAACATCACAATGAAATATTTGCAACAAAGATGTATAAATTATGTTGATAATCAATATATAAAAAATATGATTTGATATAATTTCAGCTAATACAAATTCATATAAATATATGATAAAGTCTAACATAACCTAAGAAATTGGATTTTTTTTCAAGTTTTATAGTTCTATGACATGTTCTTTCACATATCTCACAAAGATGCTCAAGTGAATCTAACTAACTTCATATGATTTAAAGCATAATGAACAAAGATTTGATTTCATTGTATGAACTCAAATCTTGTTTAAACTCTTCATTGCTATCTTTCCAAAAATTGCATATACACGGATAAGAAAGTTTCGAAAAATTGATGATCATTTCAAATAATAAACACTTTGTACTTCAATCCAAAGTACAAATACAATGTAACTATATATGACTGCAGTCATAATATCAAAATTTTCAAGTTCTACTACTGAGATATTAATGTGGATATTACAAGCATTGAAGCATCTGTCTATGTCTTCTAGCATAGAAGACAGATAGCATCTAAATATGAATATCACATCAAGCCATATCAACCAACATGTGTCATGTTGTTTGCTATGGATTGATGAGGTATTCATCATCATGTCCTATAGCAGTTACCACATCCCTAACTTGATTCATGGTTAAAATCAAAACCTGTACTCTACATTGATAACGAATTATATGCAGAATTGATAAATGAATGCATATTACATCATAATTGGCAATGCTATGTATTTTGAATATGCAATAAGTGATGTGATAAACATGTTGGAACCAAAGTATCATCATATATATGTGTGATAATAAAATGTACGTATTTATATAGTACTGGTGAGAAGTGAACAAAAGAGTCAATGAGAATTTTAATATCTATATGGGTAGTAACGGCGGGAAGTGAGCAAAAGAGTACGATGAGAATTGTATTTTCTAAATGAGCAGGTAGAGCGAGGAAAGAATGAAAAAGGGGGAGGGTCAACTACGCTCAAGCGAGTTGAAGAGAAAAATGAGGAGGAAAGAAATGAGGGAAGCGAGGAGAGTAACTTTGGTTGGCCCATGTTTCGGCAATCGCTCCGCAGTAAAAGGGCAACCATGTACAAGATCCCGAACCCCGTAGCTGGCTTTTGCCAAATTTGGAAAAAAGCTTGACTTGAGTGGGCACAGGAAAGGAAAGAAGCCTTTGTTCGTGCGAGCACCTTTTTCGTCTTTTGCTCGCTCCTCCCTCGAACCCTCTTGCTCGTTCTCTTGCTCGTCGTCCCTTGGACTGGAACCATCAGCCTCGAGAGTCGAGATAGAAAGCGAGAAAGCTAGCCTTGGAAGGATTTCATAGCAACTGCGACTTCTAGATCCAGAATCGCGGCAGCAGTACGAGTCGAAGGAGTTGAATTTTGCAGGTTCTTTCTGAAGAGAAGCGGAAGAAGGATTGATGGAGGACGGTGTGCAGGAGCAAGAAATTTCTGCGGAACCAGCAACGACGCCCACTGCAGGCGCTAGTCGGGCTAAAGAGAAGAGCACCGGTGGAGGAGGAGGTTGGGGAGGTTGGGGTACCTCTGCCCTCTCCGTCTTTTCAGACCTGCAAAAAGTCGCGGCTGATGTTGCTGGGGAGATTTCCAAGAATGTGAGTGTTGTAGTTTCGTGTTTTCTGTAAATGGTGCGTGTGTAATTCGTAGATGAGGTTTGAAACACTAATTTTCTGCTGAATGTTCGTGTGGTGAGGTGGATGTTTTTTGTTTTGTCGCATTTGTCAAGGCGGCCTACAAACACGAAGCTGCTACGCAGTTTGAGGAGGAGCATGAGTTTTTTGATCGCGGGAGTTGGAGTTTATGTCAATATTATAAATTTGATTTGATATGATGTATGATTTGATAATGTACATACGATGCATTTCCTCGACTATGTTGACCAGTGTCTTTCATTATGTATGGTCATTTGATTCATCATTCACAGCAAAGAACGTTTCGAAGTACTACGATGAAAGCTTCAAGTCTGTTTTTAAGGGCTTGTTTCCGATCTCAGTGTAGATCCGACATGAGTAATATGAACGAAGTCACAAGGACGGCTGCAAATTGAGAAATAAGAGCCGGAAGTTGTCTGTTAGTCTAGCCAGATTCATGTAGATATGACTTCTATTCTTGGAGGTTGACCGTTGTCGTCCATTTGCTTCTTTTGCCTTCTGAAGTGAATGACAGCATTCATAGTCTTGTTCTATGAATATGTCAGCGAGAGTCGAGCACTTATTCTCAAAGTTTACGGAGAGAGGCTCCCAGAAAACACCCTTTTGCTTGGCTATTTCTGGGTCTTTCTTTTTCTATCCTTGCTCTGAAGATCAGTCTTGCGATAAAGAAATGCTTTTGATCGCTGATCTTACTGCAAATTAAATGTTTCAGGCCGTTGCAGCTGCCAAGGGTGCCGCCAAGGGTGTCGCCGACTTGCAGCAGAGCGTTGTTAATTCGATTGATGAAGAGTTCAAGGATTCCCAGTCAGATACTGAAGAAGAGATTAAGGTCAAAGAGCCAGAGCCTTTATCGGCAGAAGACATCAAAAGGAAGGCTGCTTTGGATAAACTCCAGGAAGCAAGCAAGGATTCTCTTCTTGGGCAGGTGGGTCTTCCTTTTGTCAAAATGTTATGCTTTGAATGAATTTTTTGGTCACGAGCCTTACGCTTAACAGGGGGTACTTGATATCTATTGTGGTTACATATGTGTGCATTTTACATGGTTATTTCTGCTTTTAAGAACTGTTGATGATGAGTTCCTTCTAATAACCTTTCTGCTTGATTCCTCTTTCGATATAGAACATTTCCCCCCCACTGCTGTTGACTTCTGCTAGCAGTAAAAGGCCCTGTATCGTCCTTGTATACTTAAACGATGCAGTACACTCCTTAGACGTATAGAAATGAGGTTCTTGTACCTAAACAGGAGGACACATCCACACATAATATGCCCTAGACTCCATTTGTTAAGTGTTGGGATGACCATCTGAACCTCTGTCAAATCTATAGGTACTCACCTGTTAACAGATCCAATTCTTGGATGGGGGGTTACTACTCAAGTACTGGATCAAACTTGTCCCTACTTGATGTAGCAACTGGACTTTCCATCATCAACATCTTTTGTTGACAAATAGTACTATCCAAATATATTCAGCATAAACGTGCTATTTTCTGAAGCAGGGCCTGAAGGCTTTTGACGAGTCGGTGGAGACAATAGCGTCTGGAGCACTTGCTGCGCTCGGGAATGCCTGGAAGGGAAGCGTTACTCTGGTTCAAAAGTAAGGAACTTGGTCATATGTTTTCATGAGCTCTCATATTGGTCAGATGATTACCTGAATGCTCTTTTGCTGAGTTGTAAGTGTTGATACGCCTTACTCGTCTTTTGTACCAGACTGGAACACTCGGCAGAGAACCTAGCCGGAACCATACAGCAAGGGGGTCTGACTGCAAAGGCTGGATCACTTGCTCCGAGCATTATAGAAGTAAGCAGCCACTTCAGACCAATAATGTCGTGTACCGCCCACGTCCTCTGAATTTACACTTGTGATACATGAAGACTGTATGTAGATTTGTTCAATTTTAATGCATAAATTTTCACCTGGATTTCGACATCTATCTGACCTGTAGGGTAGCAAGGCTCTGACTGCAAGAGGGTTCAAAGTGCTGGAGTATGTGGGAAAAGAAACATTGGACATGCTCGCCGCAGAAGCTGGTATTGACTTTGACAACGACCTGGCATCGTCAAAGGAAGGGGCAGGAGCTGCTTCGGAGACCTACAATGAAGATGTCAGTTTTGATCATTGTTTCATTATCTACGGAGGACCAGAGCATCTAGAGGTGAGCTTCGAAGCTGGAAAGTTAACAAGTCCATTCTTTTCATTTTATGAATACTGGATGAGGAATGCGAATACTTGAAACAACACGATATATACGTAACAAATCCAATTTGAAAGTGTTGACATTCACTAGGTGCTTTCATACTTCCGTTATTACCGTCGAATTATACAGGTCGTCTAGGATGCCTTTTCTTTTGCCAGAAGTATGGAGCCATATCCTGAAAATTTCCTATCTTGCAACATCGTACGAAGAGTTGCAGAGATTTTACTAAGTGACTTACTCTTTACAACTTGCCTGCTGTAGGAGCTTGAATCTCTGGCCAATCATTACACTTTACTATGCAACCGAGCTCGAGCCAAACTTGTCGGTGAAGCCAAGATCAATTTCGACACGACATTGAAACAGCTACAGCCAGTATTGACGCTAGATGATGATACTGACGAGGGATCCGTGAAAGGAAAAAGAGTAGAAGCAGGCTATTCTTTCAGTGAAAATGAAGTTAAGGCACTTCAAGAATCAAGCATAAGCAAAGCTGCTGAAATGACTACCGGGTAAGGTTGATTACCTCAAGCTTGCTCAACAGGTGTTTATTTGATTTGGGCAATTGAAAGTTATATACACGGAACTGAACAATTCACCTGGCATGTTTTTTTGTTTTCTAGCTTCACAGCAGCTCTTGGCGGGTTGGCCATGAAAGAAGTGGTGAAAAAGACTTCTGATCGCCTTGAGGCCATCAGGGCGGAAGGTGTTCATGTGAGAACACACTTGAGTCGACCCAACGTGTTTTCGAAGCATGCCCATTTCATGTCGGTGTTTTTGTCGGCATTTTGTTATTTTTTTTCTTCTTGTAGTCATCACGAGTTACTTCTAAACCAATAGGTTACTTTCCTGCTTTGCAGAGAATTTCTGAACTGTGTGCAGTTTGCCTATCTCATCTCCTACTACTTGGAAAATCGGTTTTGACAAGTACTTCTGATAAAAGTGACAAGTCGGACGATGTGGAGGATCTTGACTGGCCGGAGGATTGTATTGGAAAAGCTTCACTTATTAGCGCCAGAGCCAGGGCGATGGCTGGGGACATCAAAGCCGTGTCCGACAGTTTCGTCACAGGTATGTTGTAGTTATTTCTAAGTTTTTGGCCCAAAAGGTCTAACCAAGAGTGGAAGTCGGCGCCTACAGTACAGTCCCACACATTAGCGACTGTCCTAGCAACAGTAGCTGCTCCACCAGTTAAAGTGATCGTTCTGCTCGTCTAGATCTTAGAGAGTTGAGCTAGAGCTGGTTGTACTTGTAGATGTTTAGTGGCGAGCGTGTAGTTCTTTGGCGTAGGTTTCACGATTAAGTTATTAGAACAAGTATTTTCTTTCAACTCTAATGTTTACTATTCAGATGTCGATTCATCTCGCTGTCAGTAAATTCGTGGGAGAAGCCTTTATGTTTTTCATGGCCTTCACAACAGTGCAACTTCTCGTTCAGGTATCGGAGATGTGACAGCTGCTTTCGACGCAGCGCTGAAGAATGAGCGCAGGGTTGCAGACGAACAAGGAGAAGCGCTGAGAGAACGAGAGTTGAAGGAGGGCACTTTGGAAGACAGAGCTCAAGCTGTCCGCAGCGGTATTGAAAGTGATGGAGCCGCTGCCATTGAGAAGATACAAGATGGCCTCCAACATCTTACATATGTAGTTCTGTCCACGTCATTCGCTGTTTGAGGTGATCACAGTTCCTGTTTGTATCACAAATAAGATCTTCAATTAGAGGCAATTTCAGAAGATGGGATACCCACTATTCAGTTGAAACGTAAGGGTTAGTATACAATATTCTTTGGAACTTCAGAAGGTTGTACACTAGTAGTCACATAGATGCATTCAATCAAAGTTGTGGCATTTGTCTCTAGCATTTTGCCACGTTGTAATTAGTTTATGATCTTTTTAGACGATTGCTTTTGGACTTCGCTGAGAATTGTTCAAATTACTGTAATTATCACTTCCATTTTTCTGCCCTTCAACTTTGCGTCAATCTATTGGAAAGCATTCACCTTCTCTTCATTTGTCTTTAAGGCTTTATCCTTGCCTTCACAACGATGTGGCTGTTGCGTCAGTCAACGCCGTTCAGTGATTAGTCATAAGCAGCTGTACTCGGTGAGAAAATAATGGCCATTAGGGACATTTTGTGTGGTTCTTACAGTCAAGATACAGGGAACACAACCATATATTCGAGTTTTGGAGATTCACTTAAAGCGTGATTATCCATTGCAAGCATGATTTCATAGCAAGGTTAGTCGCTCTCTCACATCCAACGCAGTAGTTTCTGCGGCAGGCGTTATAGCCCTCAAGAAACCACACGTGTTTTCTCGGTGAATCAGTAATCTCACACTTATCAGTTACAGCATGGTTTTCACCTGTGGGTCACACTTATGATGATCCACCAAGTTGTAGTGCTTACCTCGTCATCAATGATAGTACAGTTGTTATCGTATGTTACGAAACGTAAGTTGCTCAAAGCATCCCTACCGCGCCGTGGTTTTACTAAGTATTCACGAAAGCTGTTGTCTTTGTAAACAAAGGAATCATGTCCGCATTATCTACCTCAAGGTTGGAAGTCGTCCTCACTTTCACGGATTTTGCTCTGTATGTTGAGGATTTTCCGCGAAGTGAATTACACTTGAAAGGTTTGGTATGTAATGTATGAATAGGAGGAAACGACAGGCCTTCGACGCTTGGCTAGATGTAGAGAGGAGATCATTCACCGTTACAAGACATACGAAGAAGCAGTGAAACTGATCGCCAAAGTAGTTCTTGTTTTCCATCAAGAAAAGTCGTGTTCCTTTCATTGAAATGGGTTGCGTGGTTGATAAGTCTGATGAATAGAAACATGTAGTGCCAATATGTTGTGGAGTTCCATGATTCTGGGGTGTCATTTTGAAGGTTCTCCTTGTGTACAACAGAATTGAATCCTGGAAATGGGTATATTTCCGAAACATTGACCGGAGCTGGACATCAGCTTGGAAGGGACTGAATAAGAGAATGTGGTCTGATGGAATTGGAAGCAAGTCTTGTTGATTCCAGTAAAATTTATCTCCATATATGAAAAACTCCTTCCCCAAGCTGTTGGAGCCAGTCAACAAGTCGTCCGAGTTGTCCAAGGGACATAATAAGATTTCCACCTCTAGAGGAGATTGAAAACGTCAAATTCTTGGCTGCAGACTGATAGTTCAGATTGTGGAACTATGGAATAGTCGATGCTCTCATTAATCTATGAACAAAACAGTCTATGGCCAGATTCTGGGTTGTAATATAAAATAATTCATAACTATGGAAGCGGAACGCCGCACCCCAAAAGAATGATGAAAACGTTGATTCGTAATCATCCAGAAAGACTGCTTTACTCAGTAAGTATGCTTGTACATATAGTGTAGTTACTGAGAAGTGTTTGTCTTCTAGCAATATCTTATCGTGAGCCAATTACATGTATTAGTGTCCACTCCTTTGAACACTAAACCAGCTTGCACTATATTTAGGTCTTACGTAAAATTAGCACTATAAGAGTATGTCTAGAGAAGTTCGGATCTAACTAATTCTACCACCCTCCTTTATTCTAGAGTGTGTAATCGTGGGTCTAAAAGTACTTCTCCAAGTCTTAAACTACTTAGTTTAGTTGCTAACTAGAAACTAGAGCGATGACTGACCTAAGAGCCAAGGCTAAAGACGAGAAGAGGAAATTAAAGAGTTGATGTAGGCGATTTTCTTCAAGTTACTTTGAGCTCTGCTGTGCTCTCTTTGCACGTTTATGGAGTTCAGATGTGGACTGATTGAAGTGGCTATTTGCAGTGAGGTCGATGCTGGATGTTGGGAGACTAGATCTCGTTCAATTTCGCTAAACGAGGTGCTAAGGAAACTCGCCGAGGGCAGTTTGGGATTGGATCCTGTGGATGTTACGGGTGGATTTATCAACGGCACAATTTTGCTCGAAGATTTTGTGCCTGGCCAGTAATAGAAAATCCTCTGCCTACTTACTTTCAAAGTCGCTGCCCTTGTGAGGCTTCGGTCTCACAAGGGCAGCTACTTCGGTAGATGACTGAGGCCGTAGCCTCGTCATCTGTCGAACGTGTTCGTCTTAGTATATGTGGTCCCCTTCCTGACCTAGTCATTTCAGATGAAGACTTTGTGCTTTCTACCAAAAGGTCTAATTCTTAATGTCAGGAGAGAGATGTTGGTGTCATCGCGATTCCATTGAAGTTGTCGGAGCCAAACGAGCTCATGTGCACCGAGGGACAAGACCTTATACTTGCTCTATGTAGAGTAGAATGAGATGAGATTTTGCTTCTTGGATACTGAATGTGTCTAGACATGAACTGCACAGGACCTTATACTTGCTCTATGTAGAGTAGAATGAGATGAGATTTTGCTTCTTGGATGCTGAATGTGTCTAGACATGAACTGCACGTCGAATCTAGGTATCCTTGCACTTTGCATGAATATATTCGTTTGAACGTGATTTTGTGGTCTAAAGTACCCTTGAGGTACTGCAAAGTCTGGAAGCCAGTTTCTAGATGAGACTATTGAAGTGTTAACATAAAACAAGAGAGGTGTTCCACTACAAAATATATTTCAAATTTGGAATTAGTAACAAAAAGCAGTCGGCCAACTAGCTTTCAATAAAATGTAGGATCTACATAAGAAGTGCTCGTAACTTTTGTTTACCAACATTGATTGATAATGTAGATGACCTATAGTTGAGCATATTAAACTACTTTATAAACTTTGGTAATATAGGATTTCTAGTGAAGTAATAGTCCTTGTGACTACTTAGAGAATTCCATTGCCAAATATTTCTGAATTTCACCTAAATCACATATTTCATATTGATGCAATAGATTTGACCACAATCATAATGTACATGTTCTCTACATAGAGCATCAAGATTACCATGAAAACATACTCTCTTACAATATAAAGGTTAAAGATCTGAGTCTACATAGAGCATCAAGATTACCATGAAAACATACTCTCTTGCAATATAAAGGTTAAAGATCTGAGTCTACATAGAGCATCAAGATTACCATGAAAACATACTCTCTTGCAATATAAAGGTTAAAGATCTGAGTCTACATAGAGCATCAAGATTACCATGAAAACATACTTTCTTACAATATAAAGTTAAAGATCTTAGTCTACATAGAGCATCAAGATTACCATGAAAACATACTTTCTTACCATAATAAAGGTTAAAGATCTTAGTCTACATAGAGCATCAAGATTACTATGAAAAAACTCTCCCTTACAATATATAAAGTTTAGCATAGGTCACAACATGTCTATCTTACTGATCTTAAGCTAAAAACTATACATTTGTATCAAATTCATGGGATTGTTTTATCATAAAGCACTTTATTAAGTTTACTTATAGATTATTCTAAACATTTTCTACTAAAGCTAAGTGTTTTATAGATATTTATTGAAATATGAACATTTTAAAAAGCAAATTTGACATTTAGGTGACAAATTTACCACCCACATGCACCGGCGATGTCGTACACATATCATACCGTGGATCATTTCACGATGTAGGACTTATCTTCCTTTTGTTAGAAGCGTCTTGCCACAAGACCTGAGGCAAGGCGCAAAATCATTTTGGTCATCTTTAAACTAGATCTTTTAAAAGATTTTCTACCATTATTTTGAAATCCTAAAATTGTTGTAGCGTCTGGTCTTTGATCCAAAAATAATAAATCTAGGTATTTATTAATAAAACTCTAAACATCAATATGTATTGTTTTTTTAGCGATTTAGAAAGTACAGACCCACATAAGTTAGAATGCAAGAACTATAATGGATGCGTTGTTTGAGTATGAGATTGCTTGTGAACACGGTCTTGTCTTGTTGTCTACGAGAGTGAGCCAAATGTGAAGGAATGCCTCAACAAGTACAACACAAAGATTTTTTTCAATGAGACATGATATTGTTTCAATGAGTGCCTCATGCATTTGCGTTAACTTTGTGGTGAGCTTTCTAATTGTTTCCAAATAAGACGTTCATTGAAAGTATTATTTTCATCATTAAATGAGAGTAAAATGACTTTTGCACCTACATGAATTTATTTTTTTGCGGCTATTATGCATGCAAAGCTATATAAAACACTCAAAAAGATTATTGCCAAGCCATCAGACAAAAATTAGTGAAATTACAATGTTAATGTCAATGCTAGAATTAAGGAGAAAACTTTGTTAAAATTACGTTAATTTTGACAAACTTGACATTTGTCTAAATTTATGAGGCTTGATCTAATATGACAGATATGAGTGATCCAAGCACCCAACTTCTTAGATGCCATCAAGTGAGACTTTTGGTAGTTGATTTGGCCCATCATGCGGTGCCAAAGCTCAACATGAAAGACTAAACAAGTTTGAAGATTTGACTTAGGCCATTCTATATTCCAAACTTTAGTGGAACAAAGAAAACATGCTAGATGAGACGATAGAATGATGATTGACAAGAGATCTTTTTACTTACATAACTTGCATAGAATATTATTAGAGTGGATCTTGCTTTCCTTGAAGTAGTATGTTATGTGAGTTTCATCTATCAAATACATAACATTTCTTTGGATTAAAATGCGTTATATGGCTTACATCAATAAATTATGAAACATACAACAAATTACGCTTCACATTAAGCACGTAAAAAACATTAGACATCTTATTTTTGATTTAAGGCAAGTGAATACTTTTCACAAACATAATAACTTGATTGCTTGCAATTCTAATTAAAATATGATTAGCTTGATTTTCAAGATTAGAAAAAATAAATTGTTTCTAGTTAAGTATAAGGGGTACCGCTATAAAAAAAAAGATTGCTTTCTTCTCTCTTTGACTCAAAACTGCAAGTTATACATTAGCCGCATCATCGGCAAGAGTATCGCTTACAATTGAAATTGGAATATTGTCAAATAACATATTATCAGCTTCATCAAAAGCAACTTTGTGATGGTAATCATGACCATTGAGGTAACATTCCATGTAATTTGACTCGGATTGCCTAGAATTCTTGAGAATGTTGTAAATGTATGAAGCGCTTTGAGCTTTTTATGAAGAGATGTTGGCGATAATCATAAGATTGGTGTTCTCTTTGACTCACTCATTGCAATTTTCCAGTTTAAACTTGGAGTTGCAGATAATGCATATGAGAGAATGTATAAGGATTATGAATAATACTAGCTTTGATGAAAGAAGCAAATTTTGACAAAGTCTTGGTCAAATTCATTGGAATAAGATATATAAATTTTTAATCTTTTAGCATATCATTGAAGTTTGACTATTGATTAGTGAGGTTTTCAGTACACGCATGTGAGTCTCAAGAAACTGATACTATCATTGAAAGGTTGGACAGTTTACGATGCAAGAACTGTCGCACTTCCTCACTAGCTAACGCAAATAGTATCTCTAGCTCTGTCCGCATCAGATGAGGTCACAAATCCGATGAAGCTCACACATGGCAAAGATATAATACACAATGTTCATCATAATATAAATAACATCATCTTCGTTGTTTTGTTCAAAAATGGTGTTGATTTTTTTTTGAACATCTTCCTTGGACCTCTCGTTTTTGCTTCACCGTAATTGCATTGGTATGTGTTTGATTAGTCGCTACTTTGAGAATCTCAAGTGCATGTAGTTACTTCGATTTGTAACATTTCATTTTTTGTAAGATGGCTTGCATTCCTGCAATCCAAGAAGAATAGTTGTTGATGTCGTCTAGCTTATGAGTTGGATAGATGTTCTTCACTTCCCTGGAGAAATCTATAGTTCCTAGCGAGAGAAAAACAATTTTTTTTTCAAATATTGACGTCATCAAATTAAAGCATTCTTAATCTCAACTGGAGGAACTAAAGAAAACACTAACGCTCATGTTACCACGTTGGAAACGATGATTTGTTCCAGAAAGACTGTTTGTGTAAAGGAAGTATGCTTTCGACGATATGCTTAGGTAGCTCGGTTCGTCTAGATTGGATACGATGCTGCAAATTGATGTATGGAGTAAGATATGAATCATTTCTGGTCGAGCACCAGGTCCAGGTGGGGCTGGTTTGCCATTCGCGAGCAAGAAAGGTTGAGTATAAGTGAGGGTTTCACGGGACTGCATGACAAGGAGGGATGTGACGGAGATGTGGGCCGCCATGCATGTTCAAGAGCAAAGATTGGGAATAATATATTTATCGAACAATATATTATTATATATAGTATTCAATATGTTGTATTGGTCGCGTCTTCAATAACAATATATTGTATTGTTGCTCAATACAATATCAATATTATTGTTTGATTGGATGATTTGCCTGATTTGACCAGTTTATTCTAAGGAGAAATTTGTTTGATAGGACCGTTGCTTGGCGGAAGAAAGGTGAAATGGCGTTTGCTTGGGGTGGGGAACAAAGGTGATGTGGCGTCTGCGTGAACTAGCACGGTCGGATTTTGTTTGTTTGGAGTAGTCTTGATAGGAGAGGATGTGACCGAGAAGTATGGGCAAACGATGGTCTCAATATGTCTAATTTTTTATATTAAATATTGTAATATATTGTAATTTTTTGATTGATAATACCAATATATTGTATTGTCTTGAAACGCAATACCAATATATTGTATTGTATTTTCGGAAAAAGCAATATAATATTATTCGGAACTCTGTTCAAGAGGGGCAAATCTGCACGACCTCGAGGCTCACGCAAAGACTCTGCCGCCGTGAATGAAAGCAAGGAAGAATTAGCCGGCAGAAGGGCACCCGCTCTCTCAGTTGCATGATCCCATTGACTGAAGAAAGAATGACAGCGAGCACAAGTGCCTTCGGCCAACTTGCTCAAATCTTCACTCTTTGTGCACTTCTACTCCCTTCTTTCTACTGCCAGGTGTCCACATCTGTAACAGGAAAAGAAACCATAAGTGCAGCAAAATTGACAATCAAGGGTATGTAAAGAGTCTCTGACATCTGACAAATGTTGGCGTCCTGAAAATCCTGTTGATCTAAGATTAGAGCCGGTGTGCATTATCTCCTGCCCATGACGCCGAGACAGAGAAAGCCGCAGGTACTTGGAAATGCCGATTCTCGAAATCAGGGAATTCAGATTCTCGACACTAATGTACAACTGTGCTACCCTCTCACCGCCATGCGTTGTCGGGGTAAGACACAATGAAACGATTGTGATACACATGGGGATACTCATGAGAAACTCAGGTACTTGGAACATTTGGACACTAGTGCTGCCCTAACACCGCGCTGCGATGTCGGGATGTGACACTATGAATCTCAAGCACACTCATGCTACTTGAAACATCTGGTCTCTAGTGCTGCCCTAACACCGCGATGCGATGTCGGGATGTGACACTATGAATCTCAAGGACACTCGTGCTACCCTCACACCGCCATGCGATGTCGGGGAATGACACGTATGACACTATGCAACATTGGGAGGTCGATGGAACTGGCAAACATTAGACCTCACCAGAAACAACCGAACGGCGTGCGAGCTTTCTCTCGGCGCCGCCTGCCGGATGGGTGTGATGCTCCGCTTGCTGGCTCGCCAACATCTTTTCCTCCTCCTCGCCGCTGAAATCATTATTATTAGCACTATTAGAGTAGCTCAATCAATTTTACAGTTTAAGAAGCAGAAGAACTCCACCTCAGTAATCAAAAGTCGTAAACGCAAGCAAGACCAGGAATAGAACATCACGAGAAATCCATGATTTTCAAAACTACTTTGGTTTAGGTTTTTTTGCAATAACCATGGAGTTCTGTAGCTCTGAATCGAACTTGCTTATGGCAGAGGAGAAAGCTTCTCCGACAGAATGTGCATGTGAATCTCTCTATGAATTATTCGAGACCGTAGCATCTCATCTACAATATCTCACCCACGAGCTTGCCATCCGAGCAACATCAGATCTTTGCTCTGAGTCAAACGATGGATGTGGTGGACATTATCTAATGACTCCTTTACCTTAAAATGGAGTCAATGTGTGCCCGCGAAAATCAGACGGAGAAAGCAACAGCACAGGCGGCATCTGAGGTGGGATCAGAAAATAAACGTCTGACCTGAGCCGCTTCCATCACTTCCTGTAGACGCTTTCCATTCACTCGCTCCGCAGAGTATGATCCCACGAGTCCCGAATGAAATAGGAACAAGAGACGCTCTTTTTTCATCCTGCAATGCTTGATCCTGCCGTCTGGGATGACAAATTTCCCTCTACAACGACGCCCGACGCTCACACGAGCACGCGTCGGCGACTCTCTGACCCACAAACCCTGAACGAATGTTGGAAAGCCTTTAAAATCCATGTACATGGATTTTTCTCAGGCTCGATGAAATGGTGATACTAGTCAATAGATTGTGCCACGTTGGCATGCAGCTAACAATTTACGTGATTTCGACTGTATATTGTACATGTGCCTCAGTGAACATTTTCAGTGGCGAGTCACATGATAGAGTTTAATATAGTGCTCGGCGGCTTACGCGAGAATGCCGACTCTTTAGAAATGAAATTGTTGTGATATTTTTTTGTAGTTTGGGTGCTATTTCCATATGAAAGAGCGTAGTTCTAACTTGTCTGCTAGGGGATTTTCCATCTCTTATCCACTATAATACTCGCCCATGCCGCCCCTGAAGCTTTCAACTAGCTCATATTTTCAATCCAAGTCATCCTTCTTTTGCAAAGAACTCACAACTTGATATATAGTTAATTGTTTCGTTCCAATCTCTTTAACCCTCGCAATCTATGTATATCCATGTATTTTGAAATGTAAATTATCCGTCATTTTAATAATTGGGCTTGTGCTCCATAATATTTGAGATACGTTGAGGGGAAGAAAGCCATTATTTCAAGGCATCTGGATCGAGTCATTAATTTTATCGAAGCCTCATCAAGAATGGAAATTGAACGTTCGCTTCACCTTAAAGAAGGCTGACTGCGATTATTTCGTTAGTAATTGCAGTAGCAAACTCTGTCTTTAGTGCTCGATATAAGGACGTATCGCTAGTGCACATGCGGATTCACAGTTCCTGACACTTCTCTGGCTCGTTTCCTCCGCTTGGTTCCGAGAAAACATGTAAATTTGTCCAGGCAGATTTCGTACATTGAGCGTGAGCAGCACCGTCGCGTCTCGTTTTGTTGCCGGTACCAGTCGAGGCTGTTTATCTTTGTTTATCTCTTGCTCCTAGGTCATTCGGGACTCGTGGGATCAAGCTTTTCCGAGCGAGTGCATGGAAAGCGTCTACAGGAAGGGATGGAAGCGGCTTAGGCAGGTGACGCATGTGCTGTTATTTTCTTCATGGGGCGCAACTGGTCTCATTGTCTCCATCTGATATTCGCGGGCACACATTCAATTTCTCCAAAGTAAGGGAGCCAGTAGTCAATATCCGCAACATCCATCCGGTCGACTCAGAGTGAAGATCAGATGTTGCTCTGATGACAAGCCCGTGGGTGTAGATGAGATGCTACGGTGTCGAATGAATCATAGAGATTAACATGCAGATGTCGTCGGAGGAGCTTTCTCCTCTCCCATGAACAAGCTCGATACAGAGTTATAGAGTTCTATGGTGAGAAAAAAGACTAAACCAAATTATTTAGTTTATATCCATGGATTCCTTCGTGATGTTCTATTCCGGGGCTTGCTTGCGTTTCCGACATTTGTATCCATACGTGGTGAACATCCTTCTTCTGCAGCTGAAACTGTACAGTTGATTGAGATGCTGCGTTGCATTAGAGAGATGGGCTCAATGCTGGCGCAGTTAGCTTCATGCCCAAGAGCAAGACGAGTTTTCACTTCGGTAGCAGTATTCTAGTGTGCACTTTCGAAGCAGTAAAAGCGACAAACAATTTCAGAACAGAAGCCGTTCTCTCAGTCTCTCCGTCTTTAATATTCCCTGTACTGCGATGAATGCACTGGTCTGAGATGTATGATGCATTTCGAGGTATGTAGATCGATCACGCACATCAGTAAGATGTTGCTACACAGAACTCCTTCCAGAATCACTCCGAGTACACCATTCTTGTTGCTTGCGGAGTCATTTCGCATCAGTCCGATTGTGGGTACGTACAGCCATCTGAGTGTGCACATTTTGAAGGTGAAAATGCTAGTGGACACTACTCTGCCACCCATCTGATCGTTAAATCCCTGCTCACCGTGCAGCATTGTTTATCTGCGTCCCTGTCGGAAGACAGAAAAAGCTGTAACAGAGCTCAGGTGACACGAGTAGAGTCGCATTCCTCCGAAGGGTCTCTTCGGTGACCAGTCGTAGACACGGAATTTGGGATTGAAAGATGTGATTCGTCAGGAGGTATCTATCGTCTGGAGTTATGCTCGAGAGTTACCGGACCATTGATCTAGATCCTCTTTTATCGTCGTCGATTTGAAGAGTGGCCGGTAGAATTTGTGGAAGCGTCGTTGGCCCAGGGTAGGGAGGAAGGCTAATCGTGCTCATGAAAATGATTTCAGCGACGAGGAGGAAAAGATTTTGCTGAGCCAGCAAGCGGAGGATCACACCTATCTGTCAGGCGCCGCCGAAAGGATGCTCGTGTTCCCTTGCGCGAGAGCAGGTGTGAGGAGTGCCTCCGGATCGGTACAACAGTTTGCCTGCCATTTCACTGTCCTGACGAGATTTGTGTACTCTCAGCAACGGTTTTTTATTGATTTCTAGTGTGGGGTAGTGTTGAGGCATGCCTATCGCGCCTTTCAACCTCAAAAGTTACAGATATACAAAATTTCAAAACAACAAATCATTCATAGTCAAAATGTTCTAATTCACTAGTTTTTAATCGAAAATTATACATTTGAAATTGGTTGTAATTTGTATCTAACAATATCAAAATATATGTAATATTTTCAATAAGAAATAAACTGAAAATCAATTCATACTATGATCTTGCATTGAAATTCTCATTTTATTCAAGTGCTAAGTTGAATGAATTTCTTTGATCCAATGACTAGAATGCATATGAGATTACAAATAGTTTGGAATGTAAATGCTTTCCATAGGAAATTATCTTTATGTGTTACATAGTCATACTAACGATACAATGAAAAAGCTTGTAATCTCAGTGAACTAAGAAAACAAGTTTTTAAACTGTATTATTATGAGAAGCAATAGAGTTTCATTGCAAACATGGGTACAAAGGTTTTTGCATTGATGATTGTCAAAAATAAAACGAATGCACGATTTGTTGGCTAGCCTTGAAATGTACATCCAATATTGAAAATATTTGTGATATGATGCAACACGAGGTATACAAGCATTGATGAATATAATCGTGTTTCATATAACTTATTATAATTATTATATTATTATTACAACAATTTATTGTGAAACACAATATATGTGAATGTTGTTTTTTGATCCATGTTTTGAGTTTTATCGATCAATAGTAAGATTTTTTTTGGAGAAGTTGATCAACTTATATTTTTTATTCAAGATTTGTTTCATAGTGTACTTAACTAACACATACTTTCTGATTTGATTAAGTTGATACAGACAATAGCGTAGGGACATAATGTTTGAATGTGAGTTGGAAAAATTATTTCTTATTTTGATCATGAAAATTGAACTATCAAATATAAAAGTGACCGTTGCTGATAATGAAAGAATATTTTTGTTAGTTCATTGTATCAACTGTATAAACCCTAAACCCATACAATGCATTTGCTTTTGGCCGACTTGTAAAATGCACTATGTACTGAATCCATTGTCATGAGCCGATGATGACGATCACGATGTAGATTGATTTCTTGGAATCATCTTCGCATCTGTACATTATTAGCGTACTTAATTTGATCTCTAAACAATTCTCAATGTAGTTACCATTGAGATCAAATATGAACATTGCAAATTACTTGCTTGAACACACTTTGATTGCATTGTTGGAGGTGATTAAGAAGTCTACAAATTTCAAATGATGATTGTCTTGTACGTCGGCATTCATTAGCAGAGTGAAGAATTTTGGCAAAAGTTTATGATGGTGCTGCAACAAAAAAACTTGTTGTACCCTCAGTTCTAATTGCCGTACGATTGATGAACATATTGAGGTTCTTACTTTCTTTGAGTATCGTTCTACCATACATATGTACTCAACTCTACTTTCAAAATCCAAAATACACCCGTACAAGATATAATGTTCCAACTTGTCATACTTGCTGTCAAACATATCTTTACAATGTTTACATAATATATGATAGTGATTGCCATTGTTTTTTTAAGTTGAACTATAGAAACAATGTCATGTTAGGATTTTCACTTCATATATTTTTTTCCATCCATGTGATATTTCTGTTTGATGGTCAGCGGTGAAGATGATGACTTTGTCGTTGTGCTCTTAGATTTCACATCAATGACATGAAGAACACTGAATGCATTGATGTGATATGTTCTTTTCTCCAAACAATAAACGTTACCAAATAAATAATTTCAACTGCCACGATCTACAATATGATTCCTCATAGCACATTTTATTAGTTCTAACATCCACATTAAAGCCAATGACTATATGTGCACCACTTTGTACAACCTCTAACTCTTGCAATCTTGATAAAGGAATACATCCTCTAGCCATTTGACCACTACTATTTATAATTTGTTGACAATTTTTTTTGGGATTTCATGGTTGATTTCATTCACAGAAATCATTTGTGAGATGTGAATATTGAAATATCCTATATTATCTATTGATGTCATTACTTTGAGATTGCGCGTTAGAGATTGACTCAAGTTGAGAGGACGAGTATCAACCAGACGTTTCGAAGAATTGCGATCAGATGCCGTCGCTGTTGGCAAAAGATACCTTGGCCAGGCAATGCAGACCCCGCGGCTTACGAGGCTGCAATTTACGAACACCGAGTCTTCGAGGAGGATATCATGCCAACTACAAGACTAGTCCCGTATCCTTGATTCTCAGTTTTGCTGCACTTATGGTTTCTTTTCAAATGACAGATATAGACAAATGGTAATGGAAGGAAGGGAATAGAAGTGCACAAACATTGAAGATTTGAGCGAGTTGCCGGAGTCACTTGCGCTCGCTGTCAATCTCTCTTCCGTTGATGGGACCATGCAACTGAGAGCGGGTGGCCCTCTTCCATCTAATTCTTCATTGCTTTCACTCACGGCGGCAGAGCCCAAGCGTGATCCTCGAGGTCGTGCAGATTTGAACATGCATGGCGGCTGACATCTCCGTCACTGCCCTACTTTTCCTACCGTCCCGTGAAAACCTGGCTTCGAGTCGACATTGCCTGCTTGGGGATGCTAAACTAGCTTCACCTGGCCCTGCTGCTCGACCAGATATGATTTATATGTGAGTTTTCTGATATATCTAGAGTGTCTAGCCTGTTGAGTTTTTGATCATGTTCGAAGCAAGAACTTATTCATCTGTAACTTCGAGGTTTCAGTTGTATACTTTCCTTGCCTTTATTGCCTTTCCTTGCCTCTATTCAACTCGTGTATTTTCTAACACAAATCATGGTTTTTGCTCTCACCTAGACTTTCTCTCTTTTGGAGTTATAAGAGAAGTATATGTAGTGGGAATTTAGTTCACACGAACATATCATTTACATGTATACATGGGTATGTCACATAGACTCTACTTAACTGCAAGTGAAACAGTCGGCTTCAGTGTCTGGGACTACGTGGAAATTGTCAAACATTTTGAACATCTTTTTTCAAAGATAAAAGATAGAATACATTACTTTTGAACAAAATTGCCTAAATTTTAATTTCTTTACATTTCAAGACTTGTCACTTTGAACAATTCTATGTGAATGTTGGTTTGGAAGGATCATGGCAAACTAGCTACGTTCTTCTATGTTGACATCTATCATGCGAAAAACTCCAAAAGTTTGTAAATGCTCAGTGGTTTTTATTTCCCAGACAATAAAATAAATAACAGCCGACTTTTGTCAGTTGTTGCATCTATCTGAACTTCACCAACTGCAATTGAAATTTGAGCTTCAAAATCCATTGCTTCCACCCATTCAGCAATTTATGACACAAACTTGGACCTCAAACGTATCAAAATTGCTTGGCATTGTAGTAACCATGGAAGAAAGTTTGAACTTTGGCAGACAATGTGTCATTCATAGGAAATGTGCAAGACCTAAAACTAATATTAGTGTACATCCAGAAGACTATGCATCGAAAGTTTCATTCGGTTGCTGCCGCAGCTTCACTCCTTCGGGCAGAGACGGCGTCGGCAGTTTTGCCGAACACATTTGCTCGTCGGTTATAATCAGCAATAGAACGTCCACTACTGCTCAGCATACCATCTTCCAGCTGCTGCAAGATCCTCTCCACTTTCTGCCCACCACTCTCAGAAGATTGGGTTGCACTCGGTGCTCTACTTTCATCCCCACTAGAACAGAAAATCTCTGCACTGTTCTGAAAGAATTGGGCTCGGCAATTGTAGTCTGCAGCCGAACGACCCTCCTCTGCTAAGATGAGATCAGCCAGCTGCTGCATGGCCGTCAACATCTTCACTGAATCCATTGCATTTTGCTTGGTCTCGAGAGTGTTGTTATCGCGGACCTGTCCTTTGCTGAAGTACTCGCCGATCTTCCCGTATACGACTGCTCGGATCCTGTAATGCTCTGTCGATGTTCCTTGGTCGTATATGGGCAGAGACTCCAGCAGTCTATCGATCAAAGCTTCCGAGTTTCCCATCGTTGACAGGCTTCCAATGCTCGCTGAAGCTGAGATCTCGTTGCCAAATGTAGCTCCTTCATCACAGGCACTCTCACTCCACCCTCGTTTTTGATTTCTTTCGAAATTTCCAGCACCATTCCCTGGCGATGGACTCAGATAGGCTTCTTTGACAATGACTGCTCTGTCTTTTTCAATTACTCCCTTTTCTTCCTCCAAGAGCTGCGTCTCGGGATCTCGCTCGTCGTACTGGCGGCCGCCTGCGGGGCTCCCGGGCAGTGAATTCTCCTCTCCTATCTGCAGAGGCTCGTTTGCCTTTTCTCTGTACTGCTGCTCTCGTGCGTGCTCCTCTGGCGTCTGAGTCACTTCACTCACATCCTCCACGGCTGCGTCGAGAACGAACTGAAAGAACCGACAAGAATCGATACGTTCAGAATTCGAAATTAAATGGAACAAGAGTGAACTGCGAGTTCCAGCACATGACAGTCTCCAGCTCCATAAAAGATTTAAGAAGTTCTAAACCCATTTCGAACAAATTTGTGAGAAATTGCGCAATTTCTCAGTTTCCACATATTAGTGCAGATAGAGTTCAAGTGTAGTACGCCAGTATCTTTTACAAAGAATCTGAACGAAAACAAGATTTCTCACGAGATTGTGAGGAAGTTCGCTAGAGAATGATATGGTACAAGGAAAACTGACGAATGAAAGAGAGCGGAGAATCTGAAAGCTACCTGACGGTGAGTGCAGGCTTGCGCAGTTGGAAAAGTTCGACGACGGCGACTGCCAAAAGGCTGGAGGATCTGAGGGAAGCCTTGTGTTGATCCACTCAAAGCGTTGTTCTTTAACACTGTCGTCCTCACCGGTAGTTGACAAACCGGTAGCTCAGTATGCGCCGCCACATTGTAACAATCCAACTTTAGTTTTGTTGTGATAGATTGAAGAGAAGTGACGAGAGATGCCATAGAGACTTCACTGTCTACTGCCTGGACTGGACTGGACTGGACTGGCTGGTATCGGCTAGGCCTTCGTTTCTGCAATAAACCTCGCACACTTCCGGCCAGCACGGTGACAGAAGGATTAATTCTGCTGAATTTCGAGGTGGTACGATGTTTTCCAGCAGTCGCACAATTCTGCTCTAAGAAATACTCGACCAGATCAGAACTTCTACAGGACCCAGAGGTTCAAGACGCTTATATATGATCAACTCGAGTCCTTGTTGCAAGAAACAGATGCGCCTGTAGAACCAATCCCCCGTCGCCAATTGTTGACCGAACTTCGATCGATCGAGTTTACCCCGTAGAGCAGTAAATGAGACTACGACACGGACGTCCGTCGCCGTCTGCATCGTGCAGAAGGTTCTGGACACGTGCCCTCAACCTTCGCCTGCTATCTGTCTGTCTAGGGTTTGTGCACCTCGCTCTATTTATAAACTCCTGCTAATTTCCCCACCATCAGTCCTGCTAATTTTGGTCTGCACTTTTCAGCAGCCCATGCGAAAGCCGATCGGTGCATTTGTCGTGCACTGAGCAGCTGCAATGGAATGGCAGTGATTTGGTCAGGGAACCAGAGTTCCCATTGAACGATTTGCACAAGGATCGAAGGTGCTTGGTGCTCCTGAAAAAGTCCTTGAGTCCCTTCTAACCTAACTCGTTGTTGCTGCAGGACATTAAAGCGGAGGTAATAAGATTCTATGGTTAGAAAAGTGTGCAAATTCCCTTACCTTTTTGGTGCTTGACCCCTGAGTGTGCTGCTGGCGAGCTCTGTCCGAAGCTGCGCAAGGAGTTTCATACCCACCAGCTGGGAGGGGAGTGTCGGGGACTTGGCGATGCTGGTCCTCACAAACGAGTCTTGGATCATGAAAGAGTCAAGCCTCCTTAGCCTTCAACGAGTGGAGGGCGGATTAAGTAGGACAGCACAAGCATCCTTCCCGACCCTCGAGCCCATTCACTAAGCGCCACGTTGACCCTGAGCCACAGACTTTAACACCTAATTGGAGGGAAAGTGCTCGAGGTTGCTCCGCAGGCAGTGAGGTAAGAATTGGCAAGTCTTACAGTGGAGACAGAAATCTTGGATGATGCCACCTGCAAGCAGAATAGACAGACTTTTTGCAGCTCGGGGATAGTGAACGTATTGTCGACATGCTGTGCACAGTGCTGGTGTCTTTCGTGGCGAGTAGCATGCAAGTCTCGCTCGTGAAGGACTTGAATGTACCAATCGCTTTGCTGTGGAAAGAGGGAGAGACAGCTGAAGCTCTGAACCCGCCAACCGATCGTTCAGTCAGTCGGACGTATGTACGCGTAGCAATGCCAACCGAACTCAACACAGCATCACACCACTCTACACGGGCTACTAACTTCGGCATAGATCGGGCCCTATATGGGTTTGCTGTGCACAAGAATTCTCTAAGCTGGAATCAAGGTCGAGCATTAGTACGTCCATTGCCCAATCATCGTAAAGCTTCGAGGGGACAGTATCAAGTCAGCAAAGCTTCAAATGGCATTCTGTCATTCACATGATTTACGCATCATCTTAGTCCCTTGGTACGTCAGATATACCTGGTCTGTGGAACAGTTAATGGTACTGCAATTGTACAGAATGCACATTACGAAGTCCATATACCTCGAAGTATCTAGCCACATATGATCTTGAAACTGCAGTTTGAACAACAAATTCAGGTGGAGGGCCGAAATGATTGGCTGGTTTTAAGCCTGAGCCATTTGCAATGATCCACAGACCGGCAAACTTAGCTTAAGTTATCTCAGCTGGTTCAAATACGTTTAAAGCTGTGATCCATCTCCATCTCGGAGGAAGTTTCGACGAAATTCGTTCGCCTATTCGGCCGTGAGTTAAGTCAGGTCATTTGCATCTGCTAGGCATATGCTTCACGATGTGGCCTGCACCAGCTTCTTTGGCTAGTGGCTTCACGTACTGAAAAACAGCCGATTTCTTACTTTCGTGTGATTCCCGCGTGTATATCTGCGATTTCAGGGCTCTTTGAAACCATGGTCTCGCATGGTCGCATGGTGTGTGTGAACCATTTATAATTTTGACAGAAAGTCAACTCAAGTCTGTCGTTGAGCTCTCTGCGAAGATGCACTTTGTATCACTAGCAGGACAGTGGAATTTTATCATTAACATCTAGAATTCGTAGATTAATATATTTTCTACTTGCATCCTTCTCCTCGACTCATTTCCGCATTGGGGCAGTTCTTTCATGGTTGCTGACAACCACATCCATATACGGTATGGACACGCTGAGATGAAGGGAAGCACGGCTTATTATCAATTGACGTGGTTACTTTATAGAAGACAGACAGCTTATTGAGGGCGGTAGCTAAGCCACAATTGCAGAATATCCAAAAATCCAAAAGCAGGAGCCAGAGCACATTCTTCGCGGTACTCAGATTTCAGTGCACAGTGCACTAAAATGCCGTAATCAGGGTGGATACAAATTTTGCTAGATCGCCAGGATTATCGAGGATATTTAAACCAAGCCTCCGCTTGAAAGCTTAAAGTCCAGTCCAGTTTTGATGTATGCTCAGATGTTCCCAACACGAGATATCAACAATTTTCGCTTCCGTATCAACGCTCAACAATCGTCGTATTATTTGAACTCACAGAGACGAGGAGAACCGTATATTACTGTAATCTTCCTTGGTTACAAAAATCCTCCCGCAACCTGGCGCCATCCTTCTTTTCAGGAGTAGAGGGGGAGGACGGGAGATATTCCAAGGCACTCTTTGGCCATCGATCTGCAGTTTGATCCAGCACTGCCTCAGGAGTCGGCTAAGCTCCTGAACTGAAGCTAAGTCTAGTACAAGCAATTATATATGTATATTTATACGTACATATTTACACATACCATCCTGCGTACTGCTCTACTTTGTTTACCCTTACTCCAATCCAACTTTCTTTCGTTTCTCCTCGTTCATGTCACGGTCCTCGAGCTGGCCATACGATGGGCCTATGTACACATTTCCCGGTTGCTCTCCGCGGCATCACACTCACTCGGGATCAGGACACCTGCATCATGCTCACAGAGACGTGAGTTTCAGAAGGAGATTGACTTCTTCTAGCGGGACGTTCTATTGTACGTATAGAACAACCGCAGATAAGTACACTAAATTTTGCAATACCAGGTCCCTGAGAGATTCCCACTATACTATACTGCAAGATATTCAGATCTGAACTTCCAAACGAGAGTCGCAGCACCCCTTTCCTCTCACACATGCACAACACAATGTTACATCTAGAGGCACTCACGCATCCTAATCAAATTACGGAACTTACACGCAGTCAGTATCCCCGCATATGGAGCATTTTGGTGGGGGGTTCTCGCAGGCTGATTCGGTGGGTGCACATCTGCCATCCAGCAGCCGGCATGAAATCAGTCGTTCTAATTGAAGAACTAAGTATATCAACTTATTCTGCTAAGCGTCATATTAAAAGGTCAGACCTCTGACGAGCACTCATAAAGTATTCAAATTTAAGATTCTTGGTAGAAAACACCGAAGAGTGCATTCCGAAGCATATTGAAACAAGTTCTTAGTGACTTGAGCCACTGAGAATCAGAAAATGTAGAGTGAATCGCAGTCGTACACGCAGTCCGTGTCATTGCATATCATGCATCTGGTAGTAGACTCTCGGCAGGCCATCGTGTGAGGAGAAGAGCTACTGGAACCTTAATAACTTAGTAACTCCGAGACAGCTCTGACACAGGTGTGTTAGAACCCGAAACAGTTAAGATAAAGCTATGAAGAGGTCAGATATTTGTTGAAGCCTATGAAAAGCTTAAGCGTGAAAGGATGATTCAGGATACCAGCTGTTTCAATTGGAGGACAGTTCTGGATTGATATGATGTCTCCGTACTGCTCGTTTATATAGTACATATGCTCATATTTGGTGGCAGAGTTTTTCCGAGCTTTGAACCACGAAAGTCAGCCAAGGTGTACGTACTGGTCTTCAGCAATGAAACAAGAATACAGTATTTGTTCGTTCAGAGTCCTAGATTCGCACAAGCCAGAAAGGACAACCGCAGGACTGACAGTCAATTTGTAAATTATCAGGCCAACAGTAGTTCTCCTCACAGCATTTTCGACCTATCCGTACTCATTTGGATTGATCTACAAGTTCTGTCGAACTTATTTTGAATTTGACTCATATCACGTATCATGTGGACGATTGTCTTTGCATGCGGAAATTCTTAGCTGTCGCTGAAAAGGACGCTGCATGGCATTTAAATTCTGCACATTTACTTGCCACCATGATGTAACATCATGATTGAAATTGTAAGAGTCCAGAAAAAGGTTCGAAACTTCAGGTTTCTTTTCAAATTTCCAGGGTGATTTCGCCAAAGCCCTCAAGATCTGGACAAAGCGTGGCACTGTGCATAATCCAGGAGCTATGTATGAGTATAGACAAAGCTTTGTCTGCAGTGATCATTCCTGATATATCATGTTTTAGACTATGAGATAATGGAATAATAAACTCACAGAGGTTATATTGAAAATAAGGGTGTTTGTGATCATACTGACAGTCGTCAAACTTTACAATATCATATCAAGTTATTTATATGTGCACATGCTAGAGTCCTTCTGAGTAACCAAGGAGCCTAGAACCGGAGAATAGTTTTTCAACAAAAGCCTTTTATTCCTAGAGCTGAGCGTTAGAGAATGAAAATATGGTGAAAAGTACATGTGCTTTCTAATGAATGTATTTCTCATATCTGGAGAAGAAAAATCTAATCTTGTATGTTAGTTATACCCATGAGAATATATTATGATACTTGATTGGAAAAATATTTGTTGTAATACTATATATATGACACAATATTTGACTTGCACATGTAAATTGGGAAGTCAACCAGACTTAGTTGATTGTACTTGCACATAAAATTCTATATCATCCAAATTGGCTCTTTTATTTTTGGCTGGTATGCTTAGACGTTTATGACCTTGAAGTGCATCTTGGAGTCAACTTAACTATTCACGTGAGGTCCTAAGAATGGAATTTGGATCCATATTCTTCTCATCATGCGCAACCCATCGCGTGAATGCATCATCATGGGCTTTACGTACAAAAGTCTATACGAAAATATGCTCTGTTTGTGTCTTGATTGTTGTAAGATGGCCCAGGAAGAAACATTTGATGGTGAATGAATTTTTGACAAGTTTCTTTTCTACAGTTAGGACCACCAATAATCTTCGCAAAAACTGCAAACCGCCTGCCCTTGATGTAATTTTCTTTCAAGAAAACTGACTGGATGGCAGACGACGATGGTAAAAAAAGTGAGTTTATACTCCATCAAGGCAGGTGATCCACCTGGGGATGAAACTGAAGTCAAAGACCCTTTTGTTAGTGTCAAAACTCATATGGCTTGGATGTTCATTGTCATAATCAGTTTCCACGTTATCAAAATCTTCGTCCTGCATTCTTTCAAAATTTGTAAAATAATGGACAGGTCATACTAACGAGCCAAGTCTGATTGTGGAAAATTTGGAAAGTAGAATAAATTGTTCTGATTTATGTTATTTTTATCTATGTATAGTGATGCTTGACGTGGTACAAATATTATATGCCTTGTGAACCATCAAACTTTGTCCACAAGGCACCCAAAATATTTGAAGAAATGAAGAATATTTGTGAAATTGGACAAGTTGAAGAATCTGCTGACATGAACGTTCTGTAAGATCAAACTTTCCCAGGCACCTCCATGAGTTCTGACTGCATGGAATTCAAAGCTAACCTGGCTTTGAAGCTAAAAGGCCACAAGTAGAAACCACCTCAACTCCATGCATCAAAATGGAAGACATATTGGAAAGTCATAATGTTTTGTTCAGAA